ATTGGTCAAATATTAAATGCAAATTGCCCAATTATGTAAGGGGAGTTTATAAAGATTATGTGAGGTTGCCATTTGATAATAGTGCATGACTTGTATAAATTTATTTCTTTGAGTTAAGAGGGTATTGAATCATTTTGTTTGATGTGTTCAGGTCGAATTTTTAGAGTTTAGACAGAGGAACAACATGACCAGGTGGTTATCAATTTCCGTCAGAAAAGATATCGGACTCATCACAGGGTAGGGGTTTTACCTAAATAGTAAATTATGTACTGTAGTGCAAATGAAGTTTTATAATTGAAGTTTCAACGAAATTTTCATTTATATATAATTTGCTTATCTTTGCCATTTCCAGACGGGTCAGGGTTAAGTAGGTCGGTATTGTAAGTTGAATTCTTTGATATCTGAGATTTCACTCATACATTTATAATAAGTTATAACTGTAAAATGAAACAATAGTTGAAACTTTTTGTGGGTTTTATGTTCACAAATTATCTAACTCGTACAAAGTTTCACAATCTATTTGACTATAATAAACTTAATTCTGTAAAATCATTCATATTTTGGATGTTTCTGTACCTATATATCTATATTAGTGGTTACACTACGACTACCAATACTGGGTAAGTTTCTTCTTATACAGTATGTACATTTTATGTTCATAAATTGCAAAGCTTTTTTTGTGTGCATGCTCAGGTAATACATGCAATGTCAGTGATATATATCTAAAAAAGTTTTAAGTGATTGATAAATAAAAATAATGGACACTTGCTTGATTAAACAAGATATTGACATAATTTGCCATGACTAACAAAAAAATAGAGATTTACCAATCTTTTTTGTTTTATCTGACATCTTTTAAGATATATGTAATTATATAATATGTATATGTATGTATAATATCATCTACAAATAGTGTTATAGATGGTTTGATACCAGAGCACAGTGTGATATAATGAGTTTTTATGTGAGTGAACATGTAATTATACAATAATGAACAAATTTTTTGACTTGTGGAATGAGCCATTTGATGTTACAGAAATGTGGGTTAATTGTGAATACACTTGATTTTGTTATTAAAGATGAAGGATGAATATTAGCTGGTGCCCTCCTGTTTTCTGTGGGTAATATTTGTTAACAGTCTTTCACATACACAATGTACGTAATGTTGTAAAATTTAACAAAAATCACTTGACAAGACAGAGACTTCTATATGATGAAGACTTGACAGCACCATAAAACGTGTTGTTTCTGTAGTTGAATTTTCACAAATACCTTGGATATTTGGTGTCGCCTGCATTGCGGAGGTGATAAGACATGTAGGGACCCCTGTGTTGGTGTCGTCTTTTTCTCAAATGTTTCTGTGCTACATTTCTTAAATGAACGCTTTGATGTTTAATAACCTTCCAACACATACTGTAGTATCAAGTCCCCGCTCAAGTTTCATTTTTACCTGAATCTAAGATTCAATATATTCACAAATGATCTTTTGAGTTTTTGTACCAAATGTTGCTTTGAAGCAGTAATTCTTGAGGTTTTTAAAATCATTTCATGAAACTTTGTACAAATATTTGTTTATACAAATAACACAAAGTCCAAGTAAGATCAAGATTGTATTGTTCGTTTCATTTGTTTCAACTACAAAAGCTACTATATATATATATATTTACTTAAACATTTATAATCTTTGGCAATCTTAGGGGCTACTCTACATGTTTGTTTCGATTCTAGAAAGACAGTTTCTAGATGAATGCAATTTTTATAGCAGACATGGACACTGGGGGAAGCCTAGTATGTCTATGGTTGTATGAAGTACCTGTGGACAGGTGAGCCTGCCAGGTATACATATATAGATTAATATTGGTTACTTAATACAACAAGTATAAATATGAAAAGTGTAACTGTAATCACTTTATCTGAATTGGGGTAAAAATTCAAAAATGTTGAATTTATAAGGCCATTGCATTTTAAGGTTTAGAAACAAACATACAGTATAGCCCAAACATTTGTAATGATATTGAAACATGTACAGTATCATGCCATCATCTATTTAGTATTCATATGTAGCCACATAAGTGTAAAGTACATTTCCTTGTGTAAAATATTGAGTGAAATCCTTCTGGGTTCCATTGTTAAACATGACATAAGAAAGCTTCAGAAAATTGAATAAAATATCAATGCAATAATACAAAGATCTTACTACATATGCATGTAATTATTCTAATCAATTTAACTCATTAACCAGAACAACTTGAATCGTAAGTTACTGTAAGTATAAATATACAAAGCTTTGTTGGGAAACTGTATATGCAATAAAACATTGCTGTAATATGCAAGCTTAAGATCAATCCCCTTCAGGAAAACTTAATTAATTGAAACTTGGATCTGATCTGGGATATGGATGTATAAATGTTATTTCTGGACCTGTTGGTTGAACAGCAGGTCAATCAGATGGAGTCTACTGAATAGGAATGTATAATAGATCCAAGTGATGCCACATCAGGTTCGACAAAATGAAATAATTGAACTGATGACACTGACACTGCACATAAAAACAGCAGGTAGAGCTAGAAGCTTTGAAACAATTTGGCACTGAACCTGTGATATACACAGGAAAGAAAGCCGGGCTAGCTACCAACCATATTAGCTCAATGAAATCTGTGGTGAAGACAGCAGGTAGATATGCTCTATAAGAAATGACCCGGTGAATACCGTGGATCTGAAGGGCAGAAAACGCCACTGAATCGTTGCTGTAAACAGCAGGCTAAACGGCTTATTAGATCTGCGAGTATATAATATTAAACGAACGTACAGTAAGAGGCACACTAAGTATTAAACTGGTAAACCATTAAGTTGACATTGAGGAACAGCATCTCAAAAGTCCTGATCATGATCATGAGTATAAACAAAATAAACAAGACTTAAGGCCTTTGACGGAAAGAGCTTTGCCACTGAACCTGTGAAGATAACAGCAGGTAAGACGGCATGAATGATCAAATTGGGAGTATACCACATTAAAACAATACTACTTAGGCAAACAATATTTTACTCTGGTATATGTATACTATTAACTTGACATTGAGGGACCTCATCCAAGATGTAATGGGTACCAAACATATTATACAAGAACGGTACAAAGGATAACATGTAGGATTATAAAACTTAAGTAAAAAATAATTGTCTTTGATTTCATGGATATACAAAAATTAATGACAATAGAGTATGATATTAGCTGACATATAATTACATAAACACATTGTCCTCTACATGGAGATGAAAGTGGCTGAAGGGAGGGTCGTCAAGATTGAGATGAAAACTACCGCCAGCCTCCACAATCTCTGTGTAAACTGATGCTTATAGCGTCGCCTGACTAACTGACCATTGGTCATTAATGGTCACGTGATATCTATAAATAATAAGTATGATGACCTCATCTCTAGGCTTATGCAACTAATCACGTGTTAATCAAGTAATGACATACTCTACTTAAAATTAAATTAATCTTATGATTTAAACACATGCCTTCCCATTATAAATTCACATCATCTAGTTCTACTACAATGTACTAGAATACATAAAAAAATAAAAAGTATATATGTAAACAACATCAACTCACAACATTTAATACATTTGTAATACAGTAATGAACTAACAATTTACAACAAATTATGCATCCTAACTCTGGAGGTCCAGGAGATAAAATACCTTAGATATGCATTTGTACAAACTTAAATCAAATAAATTCAAATTAGTTACATAAACCCGCTCAAGTTGAATTTTTAGTTCACCTGACCTATTGTGATCGTCTTTTGTCTGGCATTGACCATTGTCTGTCTCTAAACAATTCACAGTTTTGACCTTTTCTCCAAAGCTGTGGTCTTTGACTGTAAGACATAAATGCCCCCGCTGCCATGTGATATGTGTTTTAGTGTTCTATAAAAAGTTACAACCACTTTGATCTTGATACCCTGAAACATGCACACACACAACATACTACACTTAAAAGTTGATAGTTGATTTTAATATTCATGTTTTTTTCTGTATGTTATTACCATCCTGACACACAAGGATGTGAGAGGTATACCCATACTTGATCTTTATATAAAGTTTGACCAAATTCCGTGAAAGAATGAAGTTGCTAAGTGATCAGTTGATGATTTTCTATATCTAGCAACAGTGACCTTGGCCTTGACCTTGGAACCCTGAAACATAAGGATGTCAGAGGTATACCCACATTTGACCTTTGTATAAAGTTTGAGCAAATTCCGTGAAAGAATGAAGTTGCTAAGTGTTTAAATTGAATCAGTTGATGATTTTCTATATATAGCAACAGTGACCTTGGCCTTGACCTTGGAACCGTGAAACACAACAATGTTCGAAATATACTCAAAATTGACCTTTGATTAAAGTTAATCCAAAATCCATGAAAGAATGAAGTTATGTGTTTAAATTGAATTGGGACGGGAGGGGACGTACATGGGCAACACTATATGCCCCTCCATTTTATGGCGGGGGCATAAAAACGCAGTAATTTCAAATGAACCAAAAGTTAAGCTTGAAAGCTTGTTCATAAAATTCAATCATCAATCATCAATGCATGTTCCCTTGATTTCATCATCGTTAACTTATTAACACAATAAGCTATCAAAAATAAAAATAAAAATTATTCATACTAACATTAAGCAGGGAATTACCGAGTTTAAAATACATGTAACTTGTCACAATCATGCATAAAAATAATCAAGTTCTAAAGGGAAAATGTAGATCAAATACAGCATCTGCAACCTGCATTCAGAAGAGCAACCCCAAATACATTATTGATGCTAATACAATACATCTATCATCAATAGTTTCGGAGTTACTGACAACACAATTCTACCTAACCTGTAACTAATGGACGGATGGGGGCCGTCTCAAAATTCCTTGCTCAACGAAAATCCCCTGCCAACTTCGTCGAGCAGGATATAATTCTGCAGATTCGATTATTGTTGTCAAACTTCTGTTCCTTCTTCATTATAAGTAACTTCAGACTATTTTTTGATACCTGGGCATTCCCTTAACAAGTTGTCCCAAGCAACCTCCTGGTCACCATCATAGAAATCACATCTTACATTGTTAGCATATTCTTTAAATCTAATGGCGATGTGTTTACAATTGAAGGCTAGATCTGGTAAACGCCTGTCACAGGTGATAAATAGCAAGAAAACAGTTTCCGGGTCAGCTGAAATGAAAAGATATTTTGACTATTTTGAAGCAACTTTATGATAAAAACTGTTGTTTAAGCTACAAAATGCATTTAGCTGAGGTTGACGTTTGACATTTGGACTTAAAAAATAATCATAAGGAAGCAAAATATACATTTTACATGTACTATGGTGTTAGTCTCGTTTCCTTCCACCTCCATAATTTGTTTGCTGGGCTAACATGTAAATACCGGTGCAATACTCATTTGTTAGCATTGATTTGTTTTATTTCACCTTAAATACCTCCCCCATCAAGAGCTAGGGTCAAAGTCAGAGATCCACTTTGTCTTTGACCTTTGGACCCAAATGACCTTGACCTTTCACCCAGTGACCCTGCTCTTTGGTCAGTTGCGTATTCTTTAAAGTGTCTTAATATGTATTTCTTGCTCTTCACAAAAGGCCAAAATTTCACCTTTTTTACAATAGATTGAACACCTAAATTGTCATTGTGTCGCCATTTTTAATTGTAGCAGGTTCAATTTTGTTGTACAACTTTATAATGTTCAATATGATAAAAAGAATATGCAACTAAGTGGAAAATTATACATTATTGGTATATTTTCTTTTACATATTTAGTGTAACTTAAGCACTTTTGATTTTTACCCTGAAAATGGTGAAAAATAACACAAATAATAATTGGACAAAAAAAGAGCACGCGGACCACCCATTTTCGTGGCTGATTTAGAAAGACAAACACATTTTCTTTTGATTCTTTAAACATGTAAAAGAGTTTAATAACAGAACTTTTTATATCAAGCGTTTGATCTGCAAAAAATGGTGAAAAAAATTAGGGTTTTTTTCATTAAAAAAAGGGGATAGGGTTAACTTAATCGCCTTTTTGAGTTAAAAGAAAAAGATTTAGAAATTTTACATCCATGATTTAAAAGAAAATTATATTTTTATCAATTCAATAAACATTCATAAATATTTGATAACACACTTGAAAGAAATTGTATGAATTTGTTCTGTTGATGGTCAAAACCAAACAAATCACCTAAAATCACATATTGTGTTAAATTGGTATCTTTGACCAATCATAGCACAAAAATGAACACACGGACATATACTTTTTTGCATTTTCTACTATGCCATTAACTCCTTTTTCCAAACATCCACGTAAGAAAATGAGTTTAATACAGGATTTATTTTTCTTCTTAGAGTCGTACACCCTTAAGTCAGTTGACTTCTAGTTAAATTCAGACCAACTTTGCTTCATCATCTCATATCAAAATGTTCATCAGGGAAAGATACAAAATTTGACCTTTACCTTTAACCTAGTGACCTTGACCTTAAGTTAGTTGACTTTTTGTCAAATTCCGACCATCTTTGCTTCATAATGTCATAATAAAATGTTCATCAGGGAAAAGATACAAAATTTGACTTGACCTTTGACCCATTGACATTGACCTCTGATACGATTACCTTGACCTTTGGTCAGTCGACTCCTTGTTTAAATCGGATCAATTTGCTTTATCCTGTCATAACAAAATGTTCACAAGTGAAAGTATGCAAAAATTTGACCTTGACCTTTGAACCTAATTACCTTGACCTTTGACCTTGACCTTTTACCTCAGTTTGTTTCTTTGTTTAAATTTGACCTTGACCTTTGACTCAGTGACCTTGACCTTTGACTCAGTGACCTTGACCATTGGTCAGTTGACTTCTTGTTTAATTCTGATCAACTCGTCTTCATAATGTCATAACCAAATTGTTCATCAGTGAAAAGATGCAAAATTTGACCTTGACCTTTGAACCTAATTACCTTGACCTTTGACCTTGGCTTTTAACCTCGGTGTGCCTCTTTGTTTAATTCCGACCAACTTTGCTTCATAATGTCATAACATGCTTTTTGGTGAAAAGCTATAAATTTGACCTTGACCTTTGACCCAGTGACCTTGACCTCTGACCCGATGACCTTGACCATTGGTCAGTTGACTTTTTGATTAATTCTGATCAACTTTGCTTCATCATGTCATAATAAAATGTTCATCAGTGAAAAGATGTAAAATTTGACATTGACCTTTGACGTAATGACCTTGACCTTTGACTTTTACTTTTTACCTAAATGTGTATTTTTGTAAACTGAACATCTTGACCAAGTTTCATCTAAATTGGTCAATAAATACTAACAGCCAGGAGCAAAATTTGTGGACGAATGGACAGATAGACAGACAGAGTGATTACTAAAGGGCACCCGTATCTCCGATATGGGGCCCTAAGAATCGACAATGGTGTTCTAAGGAGCTAGACCGCGATTCCAAACCCAACTTTGTAAACTTTCCCTCTAACCGACTGAGCTACTTGATGAACATGGTCAACAGAAGTGTCCTGGCTCGTCTGTTCTACAATTATATATAAACGAAAATTAAGGGAAGGTTTACTGTATATAGGTAACAACCAAAGTGCTGTGGGACAGGGATCCTCAAATGTAAATGTTTCCTTGAGTAACGTATCGGTATTAAACAAGACTTCACTTAACTTTATTTGTTACTGTATAACATGTTGTATTGATGTATATTTACTTCATGAACAAATAGGAAATATCGTGTTGACCTTGCAAAAAAGTCATGCTTACTAATATCTGATATTCCAAATCATTTACTTCACAATATGTAATTCATTATTTGAATATTTTACTTACTGTAATAAATCCGTCTCATTTCTTCATATTCCCTTGAATTTCTCTCTTTGATGAAGTATGCAACACAATTCATATCAGGCGAAGGATGGGAGTCTTCTATATTCTTCTCGGGTGTTTTGATTGCCACTTCATAGGTAGACTTTCCTTGGAGTAATTGCTGTGTGCCAGAAATAAGATTTTTCCTGAACTCTTCATCTTCAGGTTTTGAGAAAAACCTAAAATCAACTAAAAAATGAAATAAAGACCTGAAACCTTTTACCAATCTGAAATGTTTTCTTAATATTTTTTTATGTATAAGCACCTTGTACATAAACACTGGAATATTATCAAACTGTATAATATATATGTTCGATATTTATAAATAAATTCAAAATTCGGGGAAAAACAATCACGGGATTCGTTGTAACATTTCATTTGGAAAACAAATAGATTTATTCAATTTAGAGAGATGGAATCCCTTAATTTAACATACACACAGTGACATTGCTACTTTAGTGGAATATATACATATATTTTGACAGCAACAACACTTTAAATGATGCATCTAAAAATAACTGTAATTTTATCTATTTGTATAAAATATGGAGAGAAACACAGCTGTTCTATTGAAATTAGTCCCAGCAATTTTTGGCACAGGATTTTATTTAAAAAGTAAACAAAAATATAAGTGATGTACGGTAATGTCTTTTCCAGATGTGACGATTGATTCGGTTCAATAAGTTCTCTTCAGAAAGCTCCATATGACGAGTAAGCTTAAAATATGGTTTCATAATCTACTCCATCGTAGCAATGTATATTGAAACAAAAGATCCTAGAAGGTTCGTAGTGCCCACCATCAAAGGCGATTGTCTGTCGTATTTGATGTTCAGTAAAACGGTGGATTTATTTCTAATAATGTCCATGTGTTGAAAACATGTAATTTGTCTTTAACATTTCGAAACCATTGATTCTTTGCGATTTCCTTAATGTAAATTATTTAAAATGTATTTTTGAGCAAATTGGCATTCTGTGGAACCACGCTGTCATTGCTAAAGTCTCTAACTCATCATGTCAATTTGACTCCTTTTGTTTTCAAAACACAACCTGATCACCCTGCCAGTAGTACTCAATGATTTCAATATGTGTTTTAAACAAACAGATCTGTTGTATGTTGTTGATCTTCCCCAAGGGGACATTTGTTGTTTAATTACTGATTCATTATGGTATCAATTCTAGTGTAGGTGATGGTGTTCTTTAATAAGGGCTACACAGATATATTGGACGTTTTGGCGGAGATTATATTTTATCTGATAAAGGGGTAGTTAATCTAAAATGCCATATTTACAAAAGTCATATATACTGCTCCATTCTCATATTCCACGAATTAGAGTTAAATTAAGTAGAACTGTTTCATATTTTGTGTTATGCTTTTGCTTTATGTTGTGTCCTGGGCTAATTGCCTTAAATTGTTGATCTAGTAATACACATCTAACAGACATCTGCTTGTTCCAGAGCCAAATTATTTGAAATCATAATATCCCTATTACTTGTTAAAAAAACAATATTAAAGCAATAGCTTACCTTTCACTTTGTACTTTGTTTCTGAAAACACATTTTGAAAGAAATGCTCTAGCTTTCAATTGTACATGTGTTTTAACCATAATCTCAAAGCGAACATTAACTTTTATCATACTAGTGTTACAATAAAGACAAAGTGTAAAAACAAGAAAAGCAAATTAACATATTATTAACAAAATACAACATAAAATAGTGGCCCAATAGCCTGAACTGCGAACCTTTAATTAATCTGGTTTTTGTAACCTTGAAAGTGGACAGATGTCAAAGACATTTAAATGGCTAGCTCAATATCATATACCTAGCGGTGCTGTAGCATGGTAGTGTAAAGCATGGTGAAATGAACCGCATATGAACCATGGTTCATTTCACCATTATGGTAATATGAACCGCACCATGGTGAAATGAAGGCTACCATCAATTTCTTTTCTGACAAACATTTTTCAATTCATTTTCTTTTAGTTTACTTTAATTTGATATATTCCATCTGAAAATCACAAAAGTTTAGTCTTGTGTAGAAATCATACTATCCTTATTACTTCATTGTTAAAAAAACAATATTAAAGCAATAGCTTACCTTTCACTTTGTACTTTGTTTCTGAAAACACATTTTAAAAGAAATGCTCTAGCTTTCAATTGTACATGTGTTTTAACCATAATCTCAAAGCGAACATTAACTCTTATCATACTAGTGTTACAATAAAGACAAAGTGTAAAAATAAGAAAAGCAAATTAACATATCATTAACAAAATACAACATAAAATAGTGGCCTAATAGCCTGAATTGCGAACCTTTTATTAATCTGGTTTTTGTAACCTTGAAAGTGGACAGACGTCAGACATTTAAATGGCTAGCTCAATATCATATACCTAGCGGTGCTGTAGCATGGTAGTGTAAAGCATGGTGAAATAAACTAGGGGAAAGGGAGGTAAAACCTTTAAAATCCTTCTTTTATCGTAGAGATTAAGGGATTTTATCCTAATTTAGTCTGGAGCATCCTTGGGCCAAGGGGACTCAATTTTGTATAAATGGTGGGTGTGGCCCTCCTTGGGGCAGAAAGGCAGGGCCCAATAGGGGAAATAGAGGTAAAACCTTTAAAATCCTTCTTCGATCGTAGAGATTAAATCATTTTATCCTTATGTTGTATTGAGCATCCTTGGGCCAAGGGGACTTAATTTTGTATAAACGGTGGATGTAGCCCCCCTGGGGACAGAGGGGTGGAGCGCAATAGAGGAAATAGAGGTAAAACCTTTAAAAACCTTCTCCTACGGTAAGAATTAAGGGATTTTATCCTAATTTAGTCTGAAGCATCCTTGGGCCAAGGGAGTCCATTTTGTATAAATGGTGGGTGTGGCCCTCCTCGGGGCAGAGAGGCGGGGCCCAATAGGGGAAATATAGGTGGAACCTTTAAAACCCTTCTTCGACCGTAGGGATTAAAGGATTTTATCCTAATGTAGTCTGGAGCATCCATGGGCCAAGGGGACTCATTTTTGTGTAAGCTGTGAGTGTGGCCCCCTGGGGCAGAGGGGTGGGGCCCAATAGAGGAAATAGAGGTAAAACCTTTAAAATCCTTTTTTTATTTAAGGGATTAAGGGATGTTATCCTTATTTACTCTTGAGAATCCTTGGGCCAAGGGGACTCAATTTTGTAAAAATGGTGGGTGTGACCCTCTTCGGGGCAAAAGGGGTGGGGCCCAATAGGGGAAATAGAGGTAAAACGTTTAAAATCCTTCTACGATCGTAGGGATTAAATCGTTTTATCCTAATTTAGTCTGGAGCATCCTTGGGCCAAGGGGACTTAATTTTGTATAAACGGTGGATGTGGCCCCCCCTGGGGGCAGAGGGGTGGAGCGCAATAGAGGAAATAGAGGTAAAACCTTTAAAAACCTTCTCCTACGGTAAAAATTAGGGATTTTATCCTAATTTAGTCTGGAGCATCCTTGGGCCAAAGGAGACAATTTTGTATAAATGGTGGGTGTGGCCCTTCTCGGGACAGAGAGGCGGGGCCCAATAGGGGAAATATAGGTGGAACCTTTAAAACCCTTCTTCGACCGTAGGGATTAAAGGATTTTATCCTAATGTAGTCTGGAGCATCCTTGGGTCAAGGGGACTCAATTTTGTGTAAACTGTGAGTGTGGCCCCCTGGGGCAGAGGGGTGGGGCCCAATAGAGGAAATAGAGGTAAAACCTTTAAAATCCTTCTTTTATTTAAGGGATTAAGGGATGTTATCCTTATTTAGTCTTGAGCATCCTTGGGCCAAGGGGACTCAATTTTGTATAAATGGTGGGTGTGACCCTCCTCGGGGCAAAAGGGGTGGGGCCCAATAGGGGAAATAGAGGTTAAACCTTTAAAATCCTTCTTCTACGATAGGGTCAAGAAATGTTATCCTCATTTGGTCTGGAGCATCCTTGGACCAAGACCACTCTATTTTGTATAAACAGTTCGTATGGCCCTCCTGGGGGCAGAGGAGTGGGGAAATAGAGGTAAAACCTTTGAAATCCTTTTACGATCGTAGGGATTAAATCATTTTATCCTAATTTAGTCTGGAGCATCCTTGGGCCAAGGGGACTCAATTTTGTATAAATGGTGGGTGTGGCCCTCCTTGGGGCAGAAAGGCAGGGCCCAATAGGGGAAATATAGGTGAAACCTTTAAACCCCTTCTTCGACCGTAGGGATTAAAGGATTTTATCCTTATGTAGTCTGGAGCATCCTTGGGCCCAGGGAGTCAATTTTGTATAAATGGTGGGTGTGGCCCTCCTCGGGGCAAAAGGAGTGGGGCCCAATAGGGGTGTGTATAAACGGTAGGTTTGGCCCCTTTTGACGCAGAGCGACAGAGCCCAAAAGGAGAATTTGGATCGTAGGGATTAAATCATTTTATCGTAATTTAGTCTGGAGCATCCTTGGGCCAAGGGGACTTCATTTTCTATAAACGGTGGATGTGGCCCCCCTGGGGGCAGATTGGTGGAGCGCAATAGAGGAAATAGAGGTAAACCCTTTAAAATCCTTCTTTTATTTAAGGGATTAAGGGAAGTTATCCTTATTTAGTCTCGAGCATCCTTGGGCCAAGGGGACTTCATTTTCTATAAACGGTGGATGTGGCCCCCCTGGGGGCAGATTGGTGGAGCGCGTTGAGGAAATAGAGGTAAAACCTTTAAAATCCTTCATCTACGGTAGGGTCAAGAGATGGTATCCTCATTTGGTCTGGAGCATCCTTGGGCCAAAGGAGAAAATTTCGTATAAATGGTGGGTGTGGCCCTTCTCGGGACAGAGCGGCGGGGCCCAATAGGGGAAATAGAGGTAAAACCTTTGAAATCCTTCTACGATCGTAGGGAATTGAGCATCCTTGGGCCAAGGGGACTTAATTTTGTATAAACGGTGGATGTTGCCCCCCCTGGGGGCAGAGGGGTGGAGTGCAATAGAGGAAATAGAGGTAAACCCTTTAAAATCCTTCTTTTATTTAAGGGATTAAGGGAAGTTATCCTTATTTAGTCTCGAGCATCCTTGGGCCAAGGGGACTCAATTTTGTGTAAACTGTGAGTGTGGCCCCCTGGGGCAGAGGGGTGGGGGCCAATAGAGGAAATAGAGGTAAAACCTTTAAAATCCTTCATCTACGGTAGGGTCAAGAGATGTTATCCTCATTTGGTCTGGAGCATCCTTGGGCCAAGACTACTCTATTTTGTATAAACAGATCGTATGGCCCTCCTGGGGCAGAGGAGTGGGGCCCAATAGGGGTGTGTATAAATGGTAGGTTTGGCCCCTTTTGACGCAGAGCGACAGGGCCCAAAAGGAGAATTTGCGGTTTAAATCTTTAAAATTCTTCTTCTTCTGTACTATTTGAGGCATTTTTTCCAAATTTGACCTGGAATATCCTTTGGCAAAGGAGATTAAAATTTTAAGGTTGGGTGTTGCCCCTCTGAGTTGGAATTTGAGGTGTTAGTCTTCAAAATCATTTTCTTCGGTACCATTTGTTGGATTTTATGTAATAAGTTTATTATAAACAGAAGGTGTGGCCCCTCTGGGTGCAAAGTTGCTGGGCGCAATAGGGGAATTTGAGGTTTAAATCTTTAAAATCCTTCTTCTTCAGTATCATTGGAGGGATTTGATGGAATAAGAATAATTTCCAATAGTAACTTTAATACCCTCGAAGGGCCAAGTGAGCTTATGCCATTGGGAGGCGTCAGTCGTCCGTCCCTCGTTCGGTGTCAAGATATAACTTAAAACAGCTTCTTAATAACCAAAAGGCCGAGGGTGATGCTGTTTGGCCAGAAGCAAACTTGGATGAAGGGCTACCAACTTCGTTCAAATAAATGACCTTCACCCATATTCAAGGTCACTGGGGTCAAATATGGTGAAATCTTTAAACAACTTCTTCTGAATACCAAAAATATCCAGGGTAATGATATTTGGCCAGTAGCATGCTGGCATGAAAGGCAACCAAGTTGAGTGACCTTTGACCATAGTCAAGGTCAGAAGTGTCAAATATATTTAAACAGCTTCTTCTGAATAACCAAAATGTCCAAGATGATTGCATTTGGTCAGAAGCATGCTGGGATGAAGGGCTTTAAAGTTTTTTGGAATGAATGACCTTCATCCAAATTCAAAGTCTGAGGGGTCAAACATATTGAAATCTTCAAACAACTTCCTATGAATAACCAAAGGTCAAGGGTGATGATTTTTGGCCAGAAACATGCTGGCATGAAGAGCTACCAAATTTTCTGAAATGAATAAATTTGCCCATATTAAAGGTCACAGGGGTCAATTGTCTTAAAACACTATTAAACAGCTTCTTCTGAATAACCAAATGTCCCGGGCGATGATATTTGGCCATTAAGATGCAAGCATCTTTTAACAATTCTTTTGATTGACTTTGAGTCAGAACACTGATATTTTGGCTGTAGCTTTATTATTTTCCACTTTTAAGGTTGGATCAATACCAGGTGAGCGATGCAGGCCTTTTGGGACTCTTGTTTAAAAGAAGTAATTAAGTCCCTGTGACTTTGAATACAGCTCAAGGGTATTTTATTTGCAAGCTTTGTTTGGCTTTATCTTTGAACGCTAACAACCTAACATCATGATTCTTGGTATTTCCATTCTTCACAAGAAGTTGTTTGAAATGATTGACATAGTCGATCACTGTGACTACAGGTCACTGTCATTTTAATTTGCAAGCGTTATTGAACACTATCCCAGGAAGCTACATGCCTAATATCATGGCTCTAGACATTCCATTCTTCTTCAGAAGTTGTTGTAAGTTTTTGACATATTTGACCCCTGTGATCTATATGTCGAGGTAATTATTATTTGCAAACTTTTTTGGGTCTTATTCCTGGAAGCTTCCAACCAAATACGACCTTAGGCCTTGTCGTTCTCTAGATGAAGTCATTTAAATGAAAAGTTGATGAACACGGACAGCAGACGGACACTTTGCCACAACATAAGCTCACTTGTCCTTTTGGTAGGTGAGCTAAAACCAGTTTTGTTAAGGATGAAAACTACCATATGGGGTCTAATGTACTGTTGGTTTATCTGTAGTCTAAGCATAGTGCAATACAAGTCCTAAGACAGTGGACTCCTTGTAAACTATGATTTAACCTCAAGTCGGCATTCAACTGTTGGATGAAATTACAACTACGTACAGTGTATTCTTTTTTCAAGAATGGAAATCATGCCTGTTTCTTAAAATATAAAGGAAAAAAGATGGATGAACTCAGGAGAATATGCATTGAGCCATCTTTTAGCTCAAAATGTACAAGATGATATTTTTCACAATGTCTTATATATCAATTTATAGTTACCTGTCATATTGTGATGAATATCAGTTTCATCAAGTTAATAGAAGCAGTAATGAATTAGTTAAAAACAAATAACAAATAATTGATGCATTTACCATTGGCTGTGATTCATTAAATGTAACGACCTACTCTTATTATTAGTTAAATACTTACTCAGATGGTACGCTGCAAGTTGTTCGTCCGTCTCCTTATCTTTGCATATGTACGTGCCTTCGACCTTCTTTCCACAATGTGTTATCGTGAGTTTACTGTTATCGATTTCGTCACTGATTTCGTTTGTGATGTCTACCTCTGGGGAAATCTCGCTTAGATATGTCCATTTATACTCTTTGCCTTGTGTTGGTGTTGGAAGCTCAAATTGTACAATATCGTTTTCAAAGGCTTGAATTTCTTCCGGCCTCAGAATACCTAAACCAAACAATACTAACGATAACTCCTCCCGCTGTGTTAAACGATGAAAATGGAAGAGACAGAAGAGTTCAGTAGAGTTCACAGTGCCAAGATACATACCGCCATACCAAAATTGATCGAATCGATCGAGGCCTAGACGAACATCTGTTAAGGAAACGTTATTGTGTAGTAATTGACGTATGCTTTGAAATGAAATTAAACACTACGTTATGACCAATCACATGCCCCAGCAGCCATTTCGGATAATGAATTAAAAAAGGCCTTTATTGCAGAGGCATATCTAAACGTTTATGCCTTGCCTATAGATTTGTGTTTCATTTGAAATACAAGAACAAACCAATTGGAGACCAGTCCACTTTTTCAGAAAAATGTCAATATATTATTTACTTAGATAATAATGGGAGCATCGTTTCACCAACTTTCAGTCGAAGAACAAAGGGTATAGCCGTTAATGTCTTTGTCAATAAAACTCTGCAGTGGTCATCTTGGATCTTGTGCTCACCAACATACATTTTAACTGAAATCCGACTAGTAGTTTCCGAGAAAGTCATCAAACAAAATAACAGCGGAATGTTGAATATTAATGATAAAAAGAAAGTGAAAACAAGAAGTACCAAAACTTTGTATGTGGGACTAAACAATTAAGAAACAGATCAATAACAAAGAATCAGTCAAAATAGATGATAGAAAAATATATGAATAAAAAAGTACAAATACCGGAACATAACATGGGGAATCATTTGTTAAAAAAAAATATGATTTTATGAAATTGAAACGATATGGTCTTTCCGAATGATTTTACAAAAGGAATAAAATGTACTTTTATTTCCATATTCATATTTATTTTTCTTATATTTTCGGAGTTGTTTCTTAAAAAAATGATAGTCCTTTTGTATATATTTTGACACACATAGTACAAAAATTAGATTTACATACTTGTTTTTTGCATGTAAAACGTTTAAATTGTTTTTAAAAATATTAAGAAGTCCCCAAATAGACTTAAATATATATTCATGCTTACGCAATGTTATTGTTTCACTGGTACACCATCCCACCTTGCAGATGTATTCCCCTTTTGATTCTTCATCCACACATTCAATCTTCAGGGAGCAGCGTTTACCTATGATAGTTCCTTTCACTTTGGATTTTGGACATTGCCACACTGCATTTTCTGCATATTCAACTTCACATCGCAACGTTACGGAAGATCCAATACTTGCAAAGCATTCAGTTTTTACAGCTTTACAAATTGGCCTTCTACAACACTTCTGATACGGCAAAGAAAATACATATCATTTACCTCAAATCAATGTATTCATGCAGAACATTCGTTTTGTCATAAATTTTACAATTATTATATGATGAATGAAATTTGCCATAAAAGTAAATAACTGCTTACATAGACAGATATGAATATAAAGTACAATCTTTATGTCTTTTGATGAAGGACTAAGAATTCATTGTAGTGTCCTGCCTAATTAAATTGGGGAGGTTTTTCAGTAAAAAAAAACTAGACATCACTGCAATTAAAAAAACGCATATACATATTATATAAGAAGATGTTATGCTTTAATCAAAACTTACCAACAAACTCTCTTTAAACCAACGACAGCCTGGAAAAAAAACAATTTTTAAGGATTCAATATTGCCGTGAATCGAGCAGACACCAACACAAATTGGAAATAGAACAACACACTTGACCACTGTGACCTTAAAAGATAGACATCTGATCAAACTTGTTATCCCTTCATCCCAGTATTCTACTTTGAAGACAGCATCACATCACCCTGGGCTTTCTCAATAATTGAGTTGAAGTTGTCTTGAAGTTTTTACACTTTCGACCCCTGTGACTTTGAATGTGACTCAAGGTCAATCATTTAAACAAAACCTGTAGCCTTCTATCCCAGCATGCTACTGACCTGATATCTTGACCTGGGGTCTTTTTTTTTAATATTGGGCATCAGTCGGTTCAGGTCATTTATTTCAACAATCTTTGTAGCCCTTCATCCATGTATTCTACTTGGCATATGTCAAACCCTGTGCCTTTTGATAATTGAGAAGAACTTGTTGAAGGAAATTTTAACATATATTACCCCTTGTGCAATTGAATGTGGAACTAGGTAATTCATTTAAAAAGCTGTTTAGCCCTTCATCCCAGCATGCTAGTAACAGAAAAAGTTATTTAAAGATGTTTTTCCTAACATTTTAACCCATGTGACCTTTAAAGAGAGCCAACGCAATAACATTAACAGATTCAGAAGAACTTGTTTAAAATTATATTTACATTTGATACAAGTGACCTCGAAAGTTGGTCGAGTTCAATCATTTGAACCAACTTTGGAGCCTTTCATCTCAGCATGCCACATGCCAGATATCAGCATACTGGACGTTTTGATTGTTTAATCATTTGACCCTATAGTGACATTGAAAGTGGATTAAGGTCAATAATTTGAAGAAAAAATGTTACCTTTCATCCAAGCATGCTTCTTGCCAAATATCACCCAGGGCTTTTTTCTTATTCAGAAGAATTCGATTAGATATAACCGTCACTCTAGGCCTATTTGTTATTTGGATGCAGTAATTTAAGGAAAAAGTTGACACCAGACGGATGGACAATGGACACTTCACCACGGCATAAGCTTACAAGGCCCATTGAGCAAGATGGCGTCGTACAGATAGACGAAGTACACCGTGCCACAGCATAAGCTCACTTGGCCCTTTGGGACAGGAGACCCACTTATTTTTAATAATAATAATATACAACATTTGATATAGCGCCCTATCTAGCTAGCATAAGCCACTCTAAAGCGCTTTACAGTATATAGATATACAATTAATACAATTAGGATGTACAATTTTTGAGGAATTCGCAGGAGTTGCCTTGTGAGACGCTAACTACTAGTCCTATGCCACCTGGCTAATATCTCCCTATGTGTGTATGCATGCGTGTGTGCTGGAGATGTATTGTGTTCTGTTTGTAGTGTGACCGTGCTTCCAACGGCAACTTTTATAGTGCCACCTCACTTGAATGCTACATCACAGATACCGCAACATCCATCCCAGACCAGTTTATACTCCACCTGTGTTGTTGGAGTTGTGTGGGCAGGAGAAAAACACTTTCTCTGATATTCCATGCGTGCGACGACTTCGAGGATCGAACCCCGGCCGCCTGCGTGGAAGGCCGGAGTGTTAACAACTCGACCAATCCACCACTTGTCTTCATTAGCCTTTTTATCAGCAAATAAAAGATGAAACCCACTGGGTATTTTATTGAATTGTAGGTTGAACTTTAGTTTTATTGGCCGGGTTTAATTCAGTTAACACATGTTCATGTAAGGTACTATAAATCTACTTTTAGAGGGATTTGTAAACCAGTATATACTTACAGGCATAGATACATATACATGCAATGAACTTCAGAACGTAGCCGGTGAACTTATATAGTCTTCCGGGTAGCTCCACAGCTTTTCCAAATTGGTGATCTACAAAGCAAAAAGTATTTGATCATGGTTGTCTAACTGGGCAATTTTGTTAACGGATTATGGGAATAAATTCGCGTAAATAAAATTCTTAACCCCAAAACAACACAATTTTGAATCTTAAGCATCTGCTTATGTTAAAAGTCAAAATGTTCTACCGCCTAACTTCTTTCAGTGGTATACATTATTTCAAAGAAGAGAATAAGAGAAAGTGAAAAATACAAAGGAAATGGTATGTCATGTTCTCATCTTTTTTTAGCTAAGGAGTAAGCCGCAAGCTATTAGTATTACTTTAGTTAATGAGCTCAGATATTAATAAACGTGATTTCGAGAGATACTCCCTCTGGTGTTAGAAATAGGTACGAAATTGAATCATTATACCGGACCTTCTGTCTTTATTACGTATTATTTTGGACTCAAATTCACTTCAATGGTTTGTAAATACAACACATTTCCTTGGTAGAACATATGATCTTATCACAACGTCGTATTTTTCTTGAAAATGCACACCGTTTTCATCAATCGGGAACTGCCACTTGAAAGTAGTTCATGCATGCTACAAGCAACTTCCGGAAAAAAATACTTCAGTTAATGAGCTCAGATATTCATAAACGAGATACGCCACCTACTGGTAACAATATTCACTTCTGGAACTGTCGCTTGGATAGCCTTTACGCCGAAAAACTGTCCGCTGATTGGTTGAAATTTTTGTCCCTGCCTACATTTATTTACTTACTAAAAAACTCTTTCGCAAATTCTGTCCTGGGGAAAAAGTAGAAACGACCGCCTGGTCAGATCACGCGTGATGTTTTCTAAGTATGACTACTCACGCTGCCATTTTTACTACAATTTCCATGTTTGGTCATGAGATCCATATTTAGACGTATATCGGAAGACGGACGAAATTTCAAATATTGTCAGATTTCGATTGCCCTTGCTACGTAAACTTGATGATTTAACGACTTTTTAGGCACAAAGTATAATTTCAAGTTATATATATAGGAGATCAACAGAAAAAGTTCATATTATAAACCTATTTATGGATGTGGATCCTGTTAATTAATTCTAAAACCGCCCCGTGTGATTCACACAGGGCTTGTTCCAAGGCATGGGATCGATTTTGATACCCGACCTGGGCAAGGTAGTGCCGCCTGACTTCCGCCCTGGCGAAACAACCGCGAGACAACCGCGTTGTGTCTATGTTTCATCCAGCACAGAGCTCATTCACTACACGTCAGTAGGCGGGACAAAATGGCGGCATAACAGGCGGAGTTTAGGAAGGAGTTAAGACTTATCATATATTCAAGAATCAGACCCGGAAGCACGTGTTACAGCGAATCAATGCTACTATGGAAACAGAATAAATGACTAGACACAACGGTTATTTCTTAGTCGGTTATTAAAATAACAATTAACTCGAGAACTGTACGTAAATTAGATAATATAGCCCTTTTCAAGTCCAGGGTGCTAGCGATCGGGAGATTTTTCATTTCTCTTACATGCAGGTCTACACAAACCAGAGACGTATATTACAGAGATCTCGCAGATCTCGCAAAAACACGCATGATTGTATTGTTCAGGCAGTGGAATTAGAAAACGCCGCGAGACTTGGGTTGCGGCTGCGCAATCACGAGGAGCCTGATCTATGAGTGTTTGTTTTGACAGCTTATCGATCCTGGTGACGATAGTCTGGTCAGTGAGTTACCTGAGAGAATTCGATCGTGTATTTGTTAGTTCGTGTCAACATGTCACATATCCTAGATATATGGCTCATATAAAGAAGCTGGTTAGAACTATAATGTAATATCTGAATACGTTTTTGAAATAAAATAATGAACGAGAAAGGAGTGCCGGTGTCATGAAAGGAATTAACCCTCGCACATCACAACCGCCATTTTAACTTGTATATTTTAAAGTGTTTTTTCAGAGCTCAATTATCAAACTTTGCAAGTATTATAAAAACCTTATTTGGCTAGCAAAATTATGTTTGAATAAATATCGGAAGATGTTTTTGAAATTAAATAATGAATTAGAAAGGAGTTCGTGTTCTAATGTGTCATGAAAAATAACCCTCGCACATCAAAGCCGCCATTTTACTTGTATATCCTTAAAAAAACTGTATTTTCAGAGCCAAATTATTGATCTTTGCAAGTATTGTAACAACCTCATTTTAAGAACCTGGTTAGAAATATTATCAAATAATTGATATCTAAGATATTTTAAAATTGAATAGTGAATTAAAAGGATTTTGTGTTCTAATGGGTCATGAAATATAACCCTCGCACATCAAAGTCGCCATTTTACTTGTTTATCCTTAAAAAAAACTGTATTTTCATAGCCAAATTATTGATCTTTGCAAGTATAGTAACAGCCTCTTTTTAAGAACCTGATTAGAAATGTTATCAAATAATTGATAACTGAAAATATTTTTGAAATTGAATGGTGAATTAAAAAGAAGTTCGTGTTCTAATGTGTCATGAAATATAACCCTCGCACATCAAAATCGCCATTTTACTTGTTTATCCTTAAAAAACCTGTATTTTCAGAGCCAAAATATTGATCTTTGCAAGTATTGTAACAACCTCATTTTAAGAACCTGATTGGAAATGTTATCAAATAATTGATAACTGAAGATATTTTTGAAATTGAATGGTGAATTAAAAAGAAGTTTGTGTTCTAATGTGTCATGAAATATAACCCTCGCACATCATAATCGCCATTTTACTTTTTACCCTTAAAAAAACTGTATTTTCAGAGCCAAATTATCGATCTTTGCAAGTATTGTAACAACCTCATTTTAAGAACCTTATTAGATACATTATCAAATACTTGATATCTGAAGATATTTTTGAAATTGAATAGTGAATTAAAAGAAGTTCGTGTTCTAATGTGTCATGAAATATAACCCTCGCACATCAAAATCGCCATTTTACTTGTTTATCCTTAAAAAACCTGTATTTTCAGAGCCAAAATATTGATCTTTGCAAGTATTGTAACAACCTCATTTTAAGAACCTGATTAGAAATATTATCAAATAATGAATTTCTGAAGACTTTTTTGAAATTGTCTGAAGAACAAAAACAGAGTTTGTGTTCTCCTGAAGCCAAAATCATTCCTGATATGTAAACACAGCCACGATGTGCAATCTTTCTATGTTTGGTGTTTTCTAAACTTAATCATTCAAGTTTACATTCAATGTAGCACTCCCAAACCGCATGGAAATCTCAGCTAGCTACGGGTTTAATATTACGTTGATTTTCGATGTTTTCTCATTATGTTTTGAACAGGACAGGATTATTGAATACAGCGATTGTTTTATATAACTGTTACAAAAAGTAAATTTTACGCAAATCATCCACTACAGGGCAGATTGGTATATATAAATGTTATTAAAAGTAGATTTTACAAATCACATCCACTACAGGGCAGATTTGTTATTATATAACTGTTACAGAAAACAGATTTGACGCACCTCATCCTCTACAGGGCAGATTGTTGGATATAACTGTTACAGAAAATAGACTTTACGCATCTCATCCTCTACAGGGCAGATTGTTAGATATAACTGTTACTGAAAGTATAGATATTACAAATCTTAGCCACTAGAGGGCAGATTGTTAGATATAACCGTTACTGAAAGTATAGATATTACAAATCTTAGCCACTAGAGGGCAGATTGTTAGATATAACTGTTACTGAAAGGATAGATATTACAAATCTTATCCACTAGAGGGCAGATTGTTAGATATAACTGTTACAGAAAATAGACTGTACGCATCTCATCCTCTACAGGGCAGATTGTTAGATATAACTGTTACTGAAAGTATAGATATTACAAATGTTATCCACTAGAGGGCAGATTGTTAGATATAACCGTTACTGAAAGTATAGATATTACAAATCTTATCCAATAGAGGGCAGATTGTTAGATATGGCTGTTACAGAAAATAGATTTTACGCATCTCATTCACTACAGGGCAGATTGGTTTATATAACTGCTACAGAAGATAGATTGTACACATCTCATCCACTACAGGGCAGATAGGTTTATATAACTGTTACAGAAAATAGATTTTACGCATCTCATCCACTACAGGGCAGATTGGTTTATATAACTGTTACAGAAAATATATTTTACGCATCTCATCCACTACAGGGCACATTGGTATATATAACTGTTACAGAAAATAGATTTTACACATCTGAATCACTACATGACAACATTTTAATATAACTGTTACAGAAATTAGATTTTACGCATCTCATCAACTACAAGACAGATTGTTATATATAACTGTTACAAAAAGTAAATTTTACGCATCTCATCCACTACAGGGCAGATTGGTATATACAACTGTTACTGAAAGTATAGATATTACAAATCTTATCCACTAGAGGGCAGATTGATAGATATAACTGTTACAGAAAATAGATTTTACGCAACTCGTCCACTACAGGACAGATTATTATATATAACTGCTACAGAAAATAGATTTTACAAATCTCATCCACTACAGGACAGATTGTTATATATAACTGCTACAGAAAATATATTTTATGCATCTCATCCACTAAAGGGCATATCAGTATACACCACTGTTGCAGAAAGCATATTTTACGCATCTCATCCACTACAGGGCACATCGGTATATAGAACTGTTACAGAAAGTATATTTTACACATCTCATCCACTACAGGGCAGCTTGGTATATATTACTGTTACTGAAAGTAGATATTTCAAATCTGATCCACTAGCGGGCAGATTGATCTATGTAACTGCTACATAAAATATATTTTACGCATCTCATCGACTACAGGGCACATCGGTATATATAACTGTTACAGAAAATATATTTTACGCGTCTCATCCACTACAGGACACATCGGCATATATAACTGTTACAGAGGATATATTTTACACATCTCATCCACTACAGGACACATCGGTATATATAACTGTTACAGAGGGTATATTTTACACATCTCATCCACTACAGGGCAGC